CTCAATAATAAATTTGTTTTTGGGACCTCTATTGTGAAAAGTTTTTTCCACTGGAAAAAATGCACATGGAATCTTCCTTTACTTAGGAAGCCATGGAAGCTGAGGAAGCTGAAAGCTTGGGTCTTCTCTTGAGCTGAAGATCTGAGGCTGCAAAGCAAAAGGATTGCTGAGAACAATTACAAAGAACCTGAGAAAGGAAGCTGAATACAATCTATGAAAGGAAAATGAATACTACAATCAAGTACAAAAGATCCCTCACCAGGAATCCAGATTTGTTTTGGTGATAGTTTATTATGGAGGACCTCCTGTTTGTTTGAGGGGAGGGGGGGGGGTGGCTGGGAATATTGCGCCCTATGAGTCGATGAGCGCTTTTTCACAAGTTGCGTACCGGATCACGATCCAAGTGCCCTGTGAAGCCGCGGTCGTGTAGTGACCTGATGTCAAACGTTTATTTGGCCAGTGACCTGGAGTCGCACGCAGCATGGATAAGTAATATAATGGATGGGGGTTAAATATTGATAGCGGTGTGTATGGTTACTTGCACCCCAGCTTGCCAACGATGACTTGCTTTGGCTGAGCTTTCGAGATGCCGCTTGCGACTCCGCTATAATGACCACATAAGCCATCTTCACCTGACCTGTGTAGTAGGGTGTTTGACTTCTGAAACCATTTACATGTAGGTAGAAGTATAGAAGGATGTGGAAATTCTGAAATCAGCAGCTGAACGCAGCACCGATACTGGGTGTTAAGTTTTAACATTGTCGTGTATGGCTACTTGCACTATCTATCTTCAAAGGAAAGGAAGGCAGCTCCTTGTTACAAGTTAGAAGACCAAAAAACTTTGAGATGCTGCTTGCGACTCCGCAAGGATGCGCTCCAGTATGGAGTCTTATAGGAGAATCCGCAAAAAGTCCGACGCAATGGAGAATTGCGGCGCAGCCTTGCCTATACAAATTTGGCCCAATCGGCCCACTCCCGGCAGCATTCGGCAGCCGCTCGGGAGCAAACAAACTTCAGCCGCGCGCATTCATTATAGTGATCGACGTGGATATGCTGTAGTGTTCCTGCAGACAACGGTCCATCACAAGGACACTTACGCAGCAGAGAGATATGCACAGAACCTAGCGCTAGGCTTAATTCTCTTTTCTGGACACCTCCAATGAGATCATCAATAATCAAAACAAAGCCTCTAGCATCCTGGTACACTCCAAACCGAGCTTCCAAATCTCTGCTCGATCTGCGATTGCATTTGCCACTTTGAAGACCAAGTCCAAGCCGAAGTCCACCGCAAAAGCACCATGCGCTTGCCGTGGTCCTCGCAAAGCAAGGCTAAGATTGCATGGGAGTTGGGGCCTCCAGTGACATCAGGAATATAGTGAACAATTCCCACGTCATGTCAAAAACGTGTTGGGACATAGTTAACAAAAGCGATAGGACGTGCGACACCTTTCAAAGAGCAACCTTGTACTAGGGCGTGGGGAATCTGGCCATGCTTCGCATCAATTTCATTGCCTGATGACATGGGAGTTTTACACTCCGCATACAGAAAGGCAATTGAGCAAATAACTTGGGAATGTGTGAGTTCCCAATTTTCTTTAGATCCCATCCACCGAACGTAGTATAGTTGCACGGTAGACCCTATAGGTCGAAACAACAGGACCGGTTGGCGAGCCCATTCCGCCGAACCCGCCTGGCTTGGAGGCGAGCGGGATCGAACGTCCTGCGGCCATTTAGAAACAGTTACTGTCGCAAACCACAGGTAAGTTGTTTCAAGCCGAAAATCTATGTCTATTCTACGCTTGCTTCCAACACAGACGCCTCGGCGTCAAAGACATTGGACTGCCGGGTCTGAGTGGATCCAACGACCGCGCACATCGTCGGACAGAACCTTTGCTGGAACACAAGAAATCAAGGTGCAGCCACCCGCTTTGCAAAATGAAAAGGGCCAAGAATAGCGGTTTTTAGAACACCATGTCACTTCCATACTAAGCTTTGTCGCCTACCAGATGCTTAGTCAAGGAGCTGAAAAATTGGTGGGCGAGATGAACGCCAGCTCTTGCTTCCATTCTGCAAAGCCTGTGTGACAAGCATGCGTCGTTCATCGGAGACCACCAGAATATAAAAAAACAACGAGGCCATCACTCTTAGGTTGGAGGCCATCGCACTTAGGGTGGAGGCCACTACCATTGCTATCAGGTTGGAGGCCAGCGCTGTTAGGTTGGTAACTTAGTTCATGCTTTCTGAAAGGCCCACATTCTAATTCTATGCGCGAGGGTCATCCCTAGGGTCATCGATTTTGGAAGGTTTGGCGCGTTAATTTAAAACTAACTCTAGACATTCATATTCTAACTGGTCGTCCAGTAGTCCTCTACTGTAATCGTTTCTTCTTGGGAGGAAAAAGCTTGACTTGTTGAACCGAGAAACATGTGGCCAACTGACAATGCTTATCGAAGCGCTCTGTACAAACCACCTGGACCATTTCGTGTCCAGTCGAGCTCCGGTACAGCGCCCGCTTACCCACCATTGCCATGGCTTCCGACGGCTCAGTGTTTCCTAGATGCACACTTGCCTATAAGCTTTGCAAGTTAAGTATCCAACGTGTGAGACAAGTCCTCATTGTCCGATTGAAGATATGAGCTCTTTTTGCATCAGCGAGCATCCGTAGCAAGACATAATCCAAACAAGTGCCGGACCCTTGAACATGGCAGCCAAAACCTTCCGGTTCAGCAACAATCGTTCATGGTCACGATCCAAACAAAAGAAAAATAGAACAGCGCCGGCGCAAGGGTTTGAATGTTCGTATCTCGACATCTGCGCGACAGCCACTGCCGCACGCCGGGCTTCCATTTTATATGTGAGGCAAGCGCAACAATGTTTGCAAGCGGCCCGATGCTTTTGCGATCACATCCAACAAAATGCAATCCCTGTGTAAATATTTAGACCTACGAATGCTAGCTAACGTAACGAAACCACAATCACCCTCATCGCCCTTATCATTATTCACTGTTGTGGTGATGCACGGGACACACTTCCCAGAGGCAATCGCTCCACCATGCTGAAAGGAATGGCCAATATATTAACTACTGTCCTTTTGCTGAGTTAATATAACCAAAAGAATTGACAATTTTCGCCAATAAAAGGCAATAATTGTATTTTTTGTAGAATATTTGCATTTGCGGTATTTCCGGAGCAAATAATTAGTAACTTTATTAATGTTTGAATTAGTCGAATTATTGTCCTTTCGCAGAATTAATGGAACCAATAGAAATAAAAAATGCTTGATTTGTATTTTTTTGGATTTCCGGGAATTCCGGATCAATTAATTGTTAATTTTATCAGGTTCATTGATTTTTTAAATATATTAATTGTTTTTTTTGCCGAATTTAATACAACTAAAAGGCAAAAGTATTTAATCTAATTTTTTTGATTTCCAGGATTTCCGGAGCAAATAATTAATAATTCTATTAATATTAATCTTTTTAACAATATTAAATTGTTTTCCTTTTGCCGAATTGTTTTCTTTTTGCCGAATTAATACAACTAATAGAAATAAGAAAGATGCATTAATTGTATTTTTTTGATTTCCGGGATTTCCGGAGCAATTAACTATTAATTCTATTAATTTTATTAGTTTTCTTAATTATTTTAATTGTTTTCTTTTTGCCGAATTAATACAACTAATGGAAATAATAAAGATGCATTAATTGTATTTTTTGATTTCCGGGATTTCCGGAGCAATTAATTATTAATTCTATGAAATTTTATTAATTTTTTCCTGACGCACCTTGTTCTAGATCAACCAAAGGAATCCAAGGGAAACCAACCCTCCAAGGCAAATTTTAGGTCAAGCACCAACAACTTGCCCTCCCCCTGAAACAATTGATCGTCAACTTCTCCCAAGTCAAACTGGAACGGAACACGTGGCCACATCTACTGAACCACCACAAGAACATGCTGTCCTTCGATGTCACTCTGTTTGGGACCCTGGGCGCACCAAACGCCCCAGGTCACTGCACCGAAGACGGCTCCCACCGCGTTGCCATTAATACAACTAATAGAAATAATAAAGATGCTTTGAGTCGGCAAAAGGGAAACAATTAATATAATCAAAAAAAATAAAATTAATAGAATTAATAATTAATTGCTCCGGAAATCCCGGAAATCAACAAAAATACAATTAAAGCATTTTCCTTATTTCTATTCGTTGTATTATTTCGGCAACAAGAAAACAATTAAAATAATCAATAAAATTAAAAAAATTAAAAGAATTAAAAATTAATTGCTCCGGAAATTCCGGGAAATCAAAAAATATACAACTAAATATTTTCTATTAGTTGTATTAATTCGGCAAAAGGAAAACAATTAATATAATTAATAAAAGTAATAGAATTAAAAGTAATTGCTCCGTAAATCCAGGAAATGCAAACAATATAAAGCATCTGTATTATTTCTTTTAGTTGTATTAATTTGGCAACAGGAAAATATTTAATATATTTAAAGGAATTAATAGAATTACTATAGTTAACAATTAATTGCTTCGGAAATCCCGAAAATGCGAATAATTAATAAAATTAATCGAATTATATCAAAAATAATATAAGCCAGAACTATATTAATACGCCCGCTCAGGGGGAAAACGCCCGCTCTGGCATGGGGGAAAACACCCGCTCAGGGGGAAGACGCCCGCTCTGGGGGAAAACACCCGCTCAGGGGGAAGACGCCCGCTCTGGGGGAAAACACCCGCTCAGGGGGAAGACGCCCGCTCTGGGGGAAGCTGCCTGCTCCAGAGAATTAGTAAGTTATAATAATTATATAATTCATATTTATGCAACATGTCAACATCAAATGCTGCTCGCCAACTTGCACGTCGAACACGACGGATTCGACACATAGGACATACTATTCCCTCATACGGGGGGGGGGCCGTTTACTAATCAGGCGCCAACATTAATATCTCAAGAAACCAATTTTTCAGCTTTGTAACTTTGAGTTGGAATGAGTTGGCATCCAGGAATTAAATCTTTCAGGATCTTTCAGGGGGGCCACAAAACAAGACGAACACAAAGAACAGTCATTCGAGTTGAGCTTCCACTACCCGAACAGAATGAAGGATAAAAAAACGTTGTTGAACCGGCCCTGCCCATGAAAACGCCACGTTCTTCCGTTGTTCAGAAAAGTTTCAATGTCCAGAAAGTAAGGCATGCATCCAGCCAGCAAAATCTCGTAATGCCGAAGGCAATCCTGGACACAGTTGAGCACTGTGCGACATAAAATTAATATACCCTAAGAATCCGGGCCCTCAAACAGATAGGGTTTTGAGGCCCCGGACCCCTGCCATGGAGGGTCCGACCCCTGCCATTCACAGCCCAAGGATTCTTAGGGTATATAAAAGAAACAGCGAACGCAAGTCTTCATTGCAGGTCGGTGGTTCACATGAATTGGAGGAATTTCCCCCTAGACCTCGTGATCCACAGTAAACACCAAATCCATGATGAATCCATGATAAATCCCCCGGGCGGCCCATCTCATCAGGCCCATAAGAGTGGACCTGCCGAAACGATCTCCACATGACAAATTGAAAAGACGTTTTCATCAATGAAGCCATCAACTCCACAAGTGCCCAAGTTGACTCGTCCCGTGATCCACTGAGATTTCCTCAACAAAATCCGTCCAGTTCCCACATCGCACACCGCGCGCAGTTCCCGTGCGGCGCGCGGAGAGGGAACCGAGCTTCCCAGCCACCCTTCTTTTTCCTGGGATCGAGGGGCAGTTCTGAAGCGGAAGTGGATACCAAGCCGCTGGATCCAGTGAGCCACCAAGCTTCTCAGAGACTTTTGTTGAGGAGCTGGTGGACAATTGGAACGCCTCTGGGTGTCTCAACGGTCAAACGATGAGGTCATTCAATGAATCTGATTTCTTGGGGTCTATTGTCTCCGTATGTCCCCTTCAGAACGTGGTTTTGATCGGCGGCGTTCCCATCCGACGTTCTGCCGGGTCAATGTGTAAATGATCCAGTTGGAATTACAGTAGTGACCACTCAAAGGGATGCATAGCATCCACACACTCTGGAAAGGTGTGACTTGCTTCAAGTTGTTTCGAAGGTAACTGGAATATGTTGGGAACCCCAAACCTTGTGTTGTTTGGGGAACATCCAACACCTATCTCGTTGTTTGGACTATGTTGGGAACAAACCTTGTGTTGGGAACATCCAACACCTATCTCGTCCCTGTCTCCCAAACACTCAATTTGTGCGTGGTCCATTCACCAAGAACCCGTCCCTCATGGGTCTCTCCAACCGTCTCCAACCAGGCCACAAGGGCCCTTTCGGTCGCCTCGGACCATCCGAGGGGCGTGATGCAAAAGAGAGAGGAGGCATACATCTCCAGGTAGGACTCCTCCTGTCTTGGAAGCAAAGGAATCCATGAGGACCTATTGATGTATTATATTATATATACTCTTGACATAGTTTAATACAGTGTAGATAGATAGATAGATAGATAGATAGGAATAGATAGGAATAGATAGGAATAGATAGGAATAGATAGGAAGAGATAGGAAGAGATAGGAAGAGATAGGAAGAGATAGG